TGCGCTATTTGTTTGGAGGCTGTGCGCAAAGGCTGTGCAGGTGAGATCCCCTGCAGCAATATTCCCTCACAAGGAGTCCCCTGCAGCAGAAATCCCTCACTCTTCAATATAAAAGAAGGACCTCTCCCCACCAGAAAGTCTCTTCTCCCCATCAGCCTACTGCGGTAAGTTTGATCACCCAAGTTGAAGAATAAGTTAGTAAGTGAGTGAGTTAGTGATAAGTAGTGAATTAGTACAGTATTGTAAGCGTGAAACCAACAAAGAGTTCGGAATTTGAAGCATATTAGTAGTAGTAGTCATCATATAAGTAGTAGTACATTAACAATTAACCAATAACAAGTAGTAGTAGTATTAGTACCGGAGCTCTAGTTTTTGATTAAAGTGCCTTAGCAAGAAATTGTTCGAGGAAGAGATCATTAACAAACTCTATAACAAAGTATCTGTTTCGTGCTCAAGTCATCAGCACCACAGTTTCCATTATTAACCTGAAGTTGTAACAGATTCATTAGTAGATTGATACGTGATCTAGGTCTGATAGAGATTACTTTACGAAAGTAAGATCTATCTTGGAATCAGCCATACATTATTAAATATTGATTACAAGACTCTTAGTTATTTGTTTAGTACATTTAGAGGGGCAGGTCTTTCAAACCACCCGTAAGTTGTAATAGCCTTTCAACCTATTTGCAATTTATTTCCCCCTCAAGGGATCTTTTGATATACATATACTTTACCGTGTCTATCCGTCCCAGGAGTCCTACATCTGGTGTCCCAACAGTGGCCGCTTACCTTCAGCAAGATCATTCGAATCAATCACATTTTTCTAGTGAATCAACCTCAACATCAAATCAATCGTGGATAACGGGAAGAAGGCAGATTTTGGCGGTAATACGGAGCGCTCGATTGGCGATACGAAGGATACGATTGAGGTTGCGAAGTATTTGATTGGCGAGACGAAGGATTCAATTGGCGAGAAGAAGGATTCGATAGGCAAAACAAAGGATTTGATTGGCGAGAAGAAGGATTTGATAGGCGAAACGAAGGATTCGATTGGCGAGAAGAAGGATTCGATGAAGTTTGACTAGTTGATCAACAGAATAACTGAATATGCCGCTGAGTAGTCGCAAATATGGTTGATAAATTTGATCTGGTTCCCGCTAAAGTTTGTGATCCTTTGGCAATTCCTTCTCGTTATTTGTTGAAATTCGATTACTTGATGTAGATCACACAAGTTTATCCTATCACGTTGGGGACTCCCTTGTAAGACTCAAAAAGTGGTTGTAAGACCCTTTTTGCTGAATGGAGAAGGGGATGGTGGAGGTGCAAGCTCTGCCCTTCTATACTATCAGATAACAAGACCCACCAAGCTCAGCTTGGCAAGTTTTAATCAAGTGATAGGGTTAGTTCAGGAATGAGTTTGTGTGATGCTGAGAATGAGTTGAGTTGTTATTGGTGTTGGGTAAGGTTCTGTAAAGGTGGTGTATCTGTGATTGAGTGGTACTAAACTGTGACTCATGAATAATACACTGAGGAGACAACAACTGGGAGGAGAGCCTCCTTATATAGAAAATAGTGAGGGAATTTAGCTCCAGGGCAGCCAGTAATGAGTGATTTTGGCTGGCCTGGGCTATTACATGAGGGATTTTAGCTACATACATAAGTTGAATGAGTGAATGTGATTGGTCAGACATGTACAAGGGTTGAAGTGGTGAGCCAAGCAGCTGAATGAGTGATTCTGATTGGTCAGGTTCTGATGTGTTTACAAGTGAGTGTGGTGGTGTAAGCTGCAGCTGTCATGCATGGAAAATACACTAATTTAGGCTGCAGGTATGATGTAATATGTAGAAGTGAAATGTAAAGAGTGTAGATGTATGTAAATGAGTGTATATGTAAATGAGTGTGTACTGTACTGAGGGTGTCTGTGTAGCTTGAGGGTTGTAATTCGGTTTGGTGATATGTAATGATGGGTGAAATCCTTGTGATATGTTGTCCAGTGTTGGGTAAGAGTTGATCCAGGTGTGTTCCCGTGACGCCTGCGTGGTGACCAAGGGTGGATTTATCCGTAGAGTCCAGTTCTTGAGCCGTATGGTGTGATTTCTGAGAGAAATTAGGTGATAATATGAAGAAAAAAAATATATATAAAAGAAAAGAAAGAAAAAAACTTTGAATTTTCACATTTTTGACTACCACACCGGCGGCTGGGGTAGTTGCAGCGCTGGAGTAGAGGTAGCAGACACTGAGGATAAGGAAAGGAAAGAAGGCGGTTGAGTTTCTTTCTTTCAAGGATAGTAGTTGTGAGAGAAGATAGAAGCGCGTACTTCTAGCGAGTCGTTTGTCTCTAAGTTCTGTTAGAAGCAAACGGCGTTTGGCTTTGTGGTCTCTTTTGACGGAATTCCAAAGCAATAGGTTGGCGAGTCTTTCTTCTTCACTAATCTGTACGCGTCGAAGAGCTCGAGCGCGTTGTTCTTCTGGGGTAAGTAATTCCCAGTCTGAGGGTTGATAGTCGGCTGCGCGCTGTGCTTTTTCAGACGCAAGGAGAGTAAGGTAATATTTGATTAGTTTAGCGGTTTTGTCCAATTCCACTAAAAGGAAAAAATAGAAAAAAAAAGGTATTTAGTTAAAGATATGTTTTTATGAATTTTTTATGGTTTTATAATATGTTTTTATTGGTTTGGTGTTTAGTGTAAAAAATTCGAAAAAAAAAGTGAAAAAATAAATGTTTTTTATAGGTTTTATTTATTTTTTTGGTAGAAAAAATGAGGCCAGGGTTTTTATCAAAAAATAGAGATATTTCCCGGCCAGACCCCCAATTGTCAGGCTAAGTGATGCCAAGAGAAGAACTCTTCTAGCTACACTAGCTGCAAGAGTAAAAATGGGATGTGTACACGTGTGGGTGACACGTGAAAAGTGGGGGAAGTGTGTGTAAAATAAAAGAAAATAGTAAATGAAAACTGTTAAGTTTTTATTTACAGAGGGGCCTGAGTTGCAGGGGTTTTTTACTGTGCCCTCTAATTCAGGTCCTGAGTTGCAGGGGTGGTACTGAAGTTCTGGTCCTTTATAATAAAGGAGTAAACCCAGAAAAAGTCTACTACTGAAGAATAAAAGAGATAATACTTACTGGTACTTATCTCTAATCCAAGGAGGTCTTCAGGAGAGGGGGGATGTTCTTGAAGCGCTCAGAAAGGTGAGTGAGAGGTGTTGGGAGAGTGCTGGGGAACAGGTGTTGGGTTGAAAGGTTGAAGTTCAGGTTACAAACAGCAGGAACAGGGCCAAAAGGCAGGTTGAAACTGGTTGTTGGTGACGGTTTATGCTGGTATGTACTGATGAAGATGGGGAATCAAAGTTCAGGGGGAAGAAGGGGCTCTTAAGTACCCATTCTGGGCCTCTGGAGGCGAACTCAGGAGTCTCTCTAGTTGCTACAACTCTCCTACTAAGCCTATGGGAGCTTTTGATCATCTGTAGCACCTGTAGAGCTTGGTTACAGGTGCCAAGGAGATGATGTAATGCTTGTAACCATGTTTACAGGGTTTTCTGACGAAACTGTAACACTCCTGTAGCCTGTGTCAGCACTGCATGATGCATGGGTTGATCCTCAAGAGAGTAATTGTCCCAATTGGGCCAAAAAAGGCCACAGATCATCCCAAACAATTTAATACTGTAGTCTGTGCTCATGTAGTTAAGGTTTCAATGATTTAAACCTTGTTTGTAGATTTTTCCCGAACTGCATGAACCTTAATTACACATGTAGCCCCCTTACAACATGTAGTATGATGTAACTGGAGGGGTCTACCGTGTATTCTGGTCCAATATCACTCAAGGACTACAAAGTAAGTAAAGGAGTAATAATTCAGGGGTACACTTGGTGAGCTACCCTAGGTTATTTTGCATGTAGATTCAGAATCTGCAATAATATTCTGAGTTATACTTAAGGTTCAGAAGTTATTAGGAGATTCTGGTTAAAACTGTTATTTTCCATTATTTATTTAATTGTTTAAATGTTTTTCTTTTAAAATATTACAATATAAGTGTACTGTGTAATAATGTCTCTATTATAGTGCTTCCACTTATTTAAATAGTATATTTTATTATTTTAAATGTAAGTACATATATAAGTAATAATATCTCTAATTTATATGTAAAATGCTATGTTCAGGCTGGCTCTGATTAGTAGCAGGCTGACACTTGAGGTACTGAAAAATTCAGTTGGTGCCATTTGTTTGCTAGCCTGGTTTTAGCCACCCAGGAGGAGTTGGGTTTCAGCCGTAACCCAGCTTGAACTGATCCCTGGAACCTATTCAAACAAAAATCAAACCAAGAAAAAATATCAATATTTTCTCATCTTGTTCAAAAGGAACATTGGCTTATCAGGTTATATCAAAAATGTGATATATCCAACATACCTGGTTGTGACATTTTAAAATTTTGGGTCGAGCAATCAAATTATGAGTTGGTTGCCCAAGAAGAGAGAACAGAATACCCAAATGCAAAGATTGAAACCACTTGATATTTGCAAGAATAAATACAAACAAAAATTGCAACAACTGTCTGTTGAAAAACTAGGCAATTAGAAAGGAAAGATTAGCCAATCCAGCAGTAAAAAAAAGTCCCAAAGAGCCCTCAAGTTCTTAGCAGTCAAATGAGCACATTTGGACTTGTGATTATAAGGCAGAGGCACATGATTAGAAGTGGGTAAGCTGGACAGATCCTATTCATCAGGTAAGCATTTACAAGATCACTGAAATAGTCCAGATAAAATGGGCTTGAGTTTTGGGACAAGACAGAATAGCATTTTCTAGACACATTTCTCTGTTTTTAATTGGGAAAGAACAGGAGACTTGGGTGTCCTTTTTCGATTGCAGCAGGATCTAGACGCGATCTATCAATGTGGAGTGTTGCTGTTGGTGGGTTGGTGCTGGGTTTTGCTGTGATTATGCATAATGGGTTTATTCATTTTGCATCCCACTCTCCCAATCCCATCAAATTTTATCCAGCCACCAGCCGGCTCATCCATCGACCATCTCCTACATACATATCTTTTTCCTTATCTTGTTTTCCTCCCAAACCATATCAACAGACAGGTCAAAGATACTCAGACAAGATGCTCCCAATCTCACGTCGCTCGATTCTTACCCACTCCCTCAAGCCCAGCACTCTCTCCAGATCGTTGTCCTCTCTACCCGCCTCATCATGGTCTTCTCGCCCATCATCCTTCTCATCGGCTTCTCTGTCTCATTTCAAGAAAACGATCTCCTCAAGGGCTCACATTTCCGCCATCTCACTCTCGGCCAAACATGGTTTGTCTTCTTCCTTCTCCTTCACTTTTTGTCTTGACTTCTTGAAGCTGATCCAAGAAAACCATCTTCTTTAGCTTTCTCCGTCTCAGCCAGCGATCGGAATTCGACCGCTGCCCTGAGAGCCAGGACGGATGTCGAAGCCAGTCAACCTGAGGAAATCGAAGAGGACTCAGAAAAACCGACGACCCAACCATTCTCTAGTATTGAATCGTATATCTCTCCAGCACTCTACCGAGCCGTCACTCAGTCCCCCTTTGGCTATTCACACATGTCAGCCGTCCAAGATCAGCTACTGAGTGATCTCCCAAATCTCATTCAAGCAACAGAAGGCGGTCAGAGTAGGACCAAAGATTTACTCGTCAAAGCTAAGACCGGAACCGGCAAGACCCTTGCGTTCTTGATCCCTGCTATCGAATCTCGTCTCCGGGACCTTGAGGCAGAACAGGCTCGATTCAAATCTCAAAATCCTGATGCCACTCATCAAAATCTCATCCAGCACATGCGACGCTACGAGGCGGAGACAACCGGGATCGTAGTGATGTCTCCAACACGTGAATTAGCCACCCAGATCGCACAGGAAGCTATCAAGCTAACCTCACACCTCAAGCAATTCGGCATCCGATTGTTTGTCGGTGGGGCTAGTAAGGCCGCTCAACTTCGTGAATTCGAACGCGGTCGAAGAGATATCGTCGTTGCCACTCCAGGTAGACTAAACGATGTCTTGAACACCAGCCCGGCCGTCCGTCAGAACCTGGCAACCGCCAAGACGCTCATCATGGATGAAGCAGACACTCTCTTGGAGATGGGATTCAAGGAGGAGATCGACGAGATCGTCAAACAACTCCCACCCAAGGAGGAACGATCAACCTACCTGTTCTCCGCCACAATCTCACCAGAAATCAATCGGATCGCCCAACAGACGATGAAGAAAGATACCAAGATCGTCGATTGTGTGCCCACTGGTGAAACCAACGTTCATGCCCATGTCCCACAATACTTTACCGTCTTGCCCAACCCCGACCAACAAGTCAAACACATCTTCAACTTACTCGCCCATGATCAATTGACTAACCCGAGCGGTAAAACCGTCATCTTTTTACCGACCACCAAAATGACTCAGTTGTTCAGCCAAATGATCTCGAACTTCAGACGTCATTTGCCTTGGAACTCTACTGGTTTGACCAAAGTTTATGAAATGCATGGTGGAAGAACTCAACGAGAAAGAGAGAATATCGCTAAAGATTTTCGAGCTGGATCAGGGGGTGGTTACCAAGTTTTAGTCACGTCTGATGTATCTGCCAGAGGTTAGTTATTCTTGTTCGTTCATTCACAAGCCTAAGACCAGAAAATTAACCAATTTCACATTTGTTATCTGACCATCAATAGGTGTGGATTATCCGGGAGTAACTCGAGTGATTCAAATCGGAGTACCTACGAGCCGAGATATATATGTTCACAGGGTCGGACGGACTGGGCGAGCAGGAAAGTCGGGCCGAGGGGACTTGATCCTCTTACCCTTCGAAGCCGGCTACGTCCCCTCCACGCTCCGAGAGATCCCGATCAAGCCGTTATCGGTTTCAGGCTTGAAGGATGAGTTGACCGAAATGATCTCGAAGATCGATGAAGCCGGACAAGAACAAGCACCGACGATCCTCCAACAAATCAGCCAGCAACGCTCGATGATGAACAGTCGCAACTCGCGCTACTCTAATCAACGAAGTGAACCCAAGACGAACATCCAAGAGGTCCAGATGCAATTGCCCGTCTCGACTCGAGTCGAAGCGTTCGACCAGAACCTTCGCGAAAACATCATCCCAGCGATCGGCGAAGAAGCGATCCGCGAATCCTTTGGCTCTTTGCTTGGTTACTACGGCTCCAAGGCCTCTGACATCCGGACGACTAAGGATGCCATCCTTAGCGGCTTGAAAGACTGGGCAGTTTCGGGCATGTTGCTGCCTGAAGAGCCTTATGTCTCGCCGACCTTCTTACAAAAGTTAGGCTTCAACAACGACCGTAGGATGGCCCGATTCGGTGGTCGAGGAGGTAACTCCCGTGGGGGAGGAGCAGGAAGCAGTTGGGGACGTGGGGCCGGAGGTGGTGGGAACGCCTGGGCAGCGCGTGGAGCGAGTAGCAGTTTCGGCCGAAGCGGCGGAGGTGGCGGCGGAGGAGGGTATTCGCAAGGCCGGGCCGGAGGCGGCGGAGGGTACTCCCAAGGCCGGGCCGGCGGCTCCAGCGGAGGGTATTCACAAGGCCGGGCCGGAGGCTCCAGCGGAGGGTATTCGCAGGGTCGACCTGGCGGCGGGATGCGCGACCGAGAAGGCCCCCAATTCAATAACCGTGGATCCTCTCAGTTTGGCGCTCCATCGTCTCGCAGGGGTCCCCCGGGTGGAAGCTTCGGTGGCGGCGGCGGCGGAGGTTTCGAGCGGAACTCTGAGCGCAAGTTCAGGTCTCGCGATTAATCCTTTGTCCCTCCCCCCGCTCTCTCTCTCCCCCCTTTATGACTCCGTAAGACTGGAAAAGTAAATATAAATTTGAAAGATAAATATATACACAGAAAACGAAAATCTTATCCCAATTCAATAGCTGATATTATTAATAGATTACTCTTACTTTCCATTTCTTAATCCTCCTCTCATCTTCTCAAAGGTTATTCTTTTTTTTCTTTGTCTGTCTGTCTATCTGGTTGGTCATCTTCATCTTCATCTCTCCTCTTTTTGCCCATGTTATCATCCACTTGTTTCTCCTTTTTTTCTTTCTTTCTTTTACTATCAACAAAAAAAAAAAGGGGGGGAAGGTCGATCTCTCCGTCCCCCCTTCTTCTCCCATCATTATAAAATTGGCTCGATTCCCTGGTTTTCTTTGCTTTGTTTGTTTTTTTGTGTAAGAAATTATGCTATGGGAAATACATGAATAAAAGTAAATCCAACTTCTCTACATGGATGATTCATGATTTTGGTGCCTCTCTTGTCGGTGGTTCTGCGGGGAAGAGGAGCGTCGCCAGGGACACATAGGACACACATAAACTGCATACTCAACGATAAGTTGAGCCGACGTGCTCAAGATATCTTGACATATGTATTACGATTGAAGGAATCCAATTGCAGATGCTCTTGCACATTTGTGGATCTGGCATTTCTTTCCTGCTGTTTCCAGCATTGTTCGTTCCTCCAGGCAGCTGGGAGTCAAACGTGAACAAGGTACTGCGGCTCAACATCCGCACCAACCGAGTCGGAACCCGAGCCTGCAGTCGCCGTTCTCCATCACCCAACACTCCACATCAGTCCACATCTTCAGCGTTCGATCCTCGACGCCGGCCAAACTCCGCACTTACAATCTCCGAAACATGAGGGCCTGGATGTATACCCTCCCACTGCTCCTGACGACACTCCTTCCGGGATGTACGACCGGTCTGCCCATGCAAGCCCCGGAGCATCTCAGCCAACAAGCAACAGAATTGGTAGCGCCGGCCAAGTGTCCAGAATGTAAGAAGTCGACGAAACGCGAGTCAGTGGACAGACCCTGTGATGTGGTTCGGGGCTGTTGGGGTCTCCATCAACACGACAATGCAATCCATTGCGGCGGCACTCTAATAGGCACTATGACCGTCTGCGGCAAGGTGGGGTGCTCTTGGCCCGGATCCGTCCACTGGAAAAAATGCTCCGGCGATCATTGTCTCACTCCTTGCCCTGTGGACATGCATCGTAACAACCAAGCTCGTCCGCCTAGCATCTTCTCAAGAATCTCCAACAAGAATAATAATCACTAGCTGCACTTACCCCAATAGTATAATCATCATAACTTACAGATACATAGATAATTACATGCTTGCTTCAATAATTACTTAAATAGATACTTCCATAATCATAACTAACATACTTGACTAGAATTGAATTACATCACAAGCAATATCATTCCAAAGCAATTCACCAGTTTGTTTGGTTATTTATCATTTATTCTTTGAGGAATCAGGTCTTTTCGATTTTCTTGTTGTTCTCCTTCTTGTGATGGGAGCCCATCATGAGCTCACATATAATGTGATCACACATCAACTTCTTACACAACTGGCAAAAATTGCTCAACTTTTTTTTAGTACAGCACCACCCCAAAAAAGAAAAGGGGCTTAGAAAAAACAACTGTATAAGCTAGTGATGGCCTCTGTGAACACACAACACGTACCCAGGGCTGTTTGAGCCCAACATTCAACTTTTGCATCCCCATCACTGTCAGCATCTGCAAGCCCTTCTGAGAGGGTTCAAATGGATTCCACATGGGCATTTGTGGATCCTTGTGCCACAAAACAAACTGAGGACTATGTAATTTTTGTTGGTCTTGGCACCTCTTACATGATTGGCTCATCTTTTTAGAAGTTAAGGGTAATTGGTGAGGGTGATAGAGGGGCAAGAAGTGGGTGCAGGGATCAGCAGTGGAGGCTTAAGTCCATGCGGATCTTGCACAGATATACTACATACACCCCAAAACATACAGAAATGTTTGGGTGTCCATCTCAGGGTTGCAGGTACCCACAATTGCATTGCCAGGGCCATCTCTACCAGTTTTAGAACCTGGTTTTACACACACCTCATCAATATTTCCTACAGCAGTTCCCAGAAAGCTTGTGGTTGCAAGCTCCTGAGATCCATTTTTTTCTTTTTGAGTCTCACAGCCTGTACAGGTTGCAAATCTGCTGCCAAGGCCTTGCCAAGCCTCCAGATACTTGACAGCTTCCCAGTGGGGGCCGGGAGTCTGTGACAGGTGTTTGGAGTTTGTGACAGGTGTTTAGAGTTTGTGACAGGTGTTTAGAGTTTGTGACAGGTGTTTAGAGTTTGTGACAGGTGTTTAGAGTTTGTTACAGGTGTGATTTTGAGAAAGTCTTTTTTGTTTGTTTGTCTTTTGATGTCAGCATTGAAAGCTTTTCATGCAGACAAGTTGAATTTAGAATTTTAGAATTTGGTTCAAAACTCAAGCTAATCTTCACATTGTTAGTTTTTTGTTTGTTTGAGAGAACTCAAAATTATTTTTCACAAAAAGATAGTTGAAGTTAACCTATTAGGGGGGTTCACAATTGAACTTCCAAGCCATTTGTAAGGTGTTAATGATTAAAAATTTATAAATTGTGTGTGATGTACGGAAAGTTCAGAAAGCACTAAACCTGAAAAACTCAGAAAAAAGAGGTCATAAACACCTTAAAAATGGCTCTCATTTTCAATTGTGAACCCCTGTTGCATTACTCTTATAAAATGTGAATCATCAAGACTTAATCTTGACGAGAGGGAGTAGCTTGAAGAACCTGAGGGAATTTGCAGTGGAGAAGCTAGTGTAACTTGTAGCTAAAATGAAATCTTGCCAGCTGTAAAATAGCAAGGGAATCTTTCCAACACCAATTGTATCCAAATCTTTGGTGGCTTATCATTTGAACTGAGAGTTTTTATTACAGGCAAGCAAGCAATGACCAAGAAAGACTGTTCAACTGATGTGCAAACCTACTGAAATATGTATCTATCCATTGACGTAGGAATGAACGCGTCCAGAAAGAAATGGTGCTGGTTTCCATATCAACTAGAGTTGGGGCAGTGATGCCTAGTGTGATGGATTGACCATTGCAAAGGAATCTGAGTTTCAAAAGCAAAGAGAGATAGGCTATAGCCGGATCAAACGGGGACAAGTTTTACACATTGGAAGTATGATCAGGATTACTTTTAAAAAGTTCCTATTGATTGCCATCAGCTCATAGTATACCTCCAACCTCAACATGCGAGTTGGATTGCGCAAGACAAGTCTGCCCCTCGCGTAAGCTTTCGGAGCAGCGGAGAGGAGCAGCGGAGAAGTTGAAGATGCTGTGTGGAATTCAAGCCGAGCTACCAATGGCAAGCTGAAGGGACAGGGACCTGAGCTTCTCCAGCAATGGGGGGCTTCAAAGTTGGATTTCCTGAGTGCAGGTTGGGTTGCAGGAGCCAAGTTCAGGAAAAAAAGAACTCCGCCAGCCAAAATAAAGCCTGGAAACTCACCCACATTTGAGCCAGCCTGTTCCCCCATGCTTGCCCAACGTCGACCATCTGCTCCCTAGGACTGCCTAGAAGACCACTCCCGCAGGAGCTTCTTCCCGCCCCCAAAGCAACCCACCAACTCCCCGACATTAACTTTTTTTTTCTTCCACCACAGATGGTCCGCACTTCCAAACGCCAAGCTTTAATCAAAGCTATCAAAGCGGCCTTGGTGAACGTTCTGATAGCCGACATGATCAATGATCTTGTGGGATTCGACGAGGATGATAGCTCGGATGACGATTCCACAGACGGAAGCTCACTAGATGAAGAAGACTTCAAATGGATGCAGATTGAAGATCTACTATCTTACCTTCACGCGGTCCACTCACAACGGTACCTTGGTCCTCGTCAACCCACCCAGCCAGCTCCACTAGACCATGATCAGAGCGAAAACCTCATGATCAACCAAATCGATGATGAGAACTTCAAACAAGAGTTCCGAATGTCGCGAACTTCCTTCTTGAAGCTATGCGAGCACATTTCTAACGATCCGGTTTTCCAAAACAATTCGAATGGTCCGCAACGTCCTGTCAGAGAACAACTGATGGTGACCCTGAAGCGACTGGGATGCTCAGGAAATGAAGCGTCTATCGACGTGTTGTCGCGTTTCTTTCGACTTGAAACGGGCACGGTGGAGCTGTATACGAATAGGTGTCTTATGGCGATATTGCGATTACGATCGGAGGTATTGAATTGGCCTACTGCGAAGGAACGAAAAGCGATATCAGTAGAGCAAGCCAAGGTTGGATTCAACGGCTGCGTGGGTTTCATCAATGCAACTCTTATCCCGCTCTCCATAGCTCCCTCCAAGAATCCTGGCGATTTCTACTCAACCAAAGGCTTCTTCGCCATCTCGACTGTGATTGTTTGTGATGGACAGCAAAACATCACCTACTTATATACTGGTTGGCCTGGTGGTCCATCCCTCTCGCGGGTGATGAGCCATTCGGGTCTCACATTGAAGCCGGTCGATTTTTTCTCGCCGGGGGAATATCTACTGGCCAACTCAGCATTCACCACCACTCCGACTATTGTGGCCGGTTACAAAAAGCCTAGCCAAGGACAACTCACAGAAGAGGAAGACAGGTTCAACGCCCACCTCCTACGGAGTCAGGCTCTCATAGAGAACTGTATAGGCACCCTCAAAGGTAGGTTCCAAAGCCTAAACGGACTTCGCCTCCGAATCGACGGAAAGAAAGATCAAATCAGGGTCAATGCATGGATCATGGTAAGTAATTGTCTGATACAACTTCATCTCATCTGGTCTTATCATGCTTCTTGCATCTCACATCTCTCTCCCATTGGGTTACTCCTTTTTTGGCTCCTCGGGATCAGGCGTGTGCAGTGCTTCACAACTTCCTCAATCAGGAAGATGAATTTGACTTTGGACATGTCGTCACGGAAGTCTCGGACAACTCCAACTCGGCGACTAATCGTACGGCACAGAGAGCTACACTTGGTGGTCAAGAACAAAGAGAAAAAATCACGAATCAAGTCCTGGGTTTCCATGCATGACCCCTCAGCAAGGAAACAAACTCCTCCTTAATCCTACCCTAAAATTCAACCTCACTCACAAATTAGTCCACAGGTATCTTATTCGTAACCTCAGCATTTCCTTGTTCTGAGTTTTTCCTCATCAATGCTCCTGGATTTCGAGGTCATTTTTCCTCTTTTTAAATCAACTGAATTGATTAAATATTTCTTGTTCTCCCTAGCTAGCCACTCTGAGCCTCAGTGGATTGTGATATTTTTTGTGAACAATTGATTTCAATTACCATGAAATTATCAATCAATATTAAGCTTTGACAAGCTCTAAATCAGTTAATGGCCAAGCCCATGCCCTCCCAGGCCCTTTGTGGACTGAATCAGCTTTGGCCTGTTTGATATCAAACTCATCAGTTGGACCCTACTTTCAAATAATTTATACCTACCCCAGTGCCGGGGTACAGAAGAAAGAGAAACACAAGAAACAAAGAGTCATTGTGTACTGAGATTGGAAAAGTCCTGGTTGTTCTATGGGTGATGGTCTGAGACTCAAAAAGCGTTCATGATAGATTTTTCTGGGGATTATAAACTATAGGCAAAAATGTTGATAAACAACAATAAAAATATTTGGGTTCCAGAAGGTCAAGGGAAAAAATCTAGAGTATTATTGAGTGTCTATGTGGCAGGAAAATAATGACTTTTTATTCAAACAATCAAAGTTCTAGATACTGGTTACAAGGTCCATCTGTGATTTTTTTACCGGCTTACACTGCTTGGAAAATTTCCAATAGATAACTACTAAAACATAGCCTAAAAACTGTGGTTATAATGTTGGAAGTTGACCTGTTTGTCTCAACAAGGATATGGATGGCCAAATTGTTGAAGAGACCAAATGATGACTGAAGCAAAGAATGCCGCCAAGGCTCACAAGTGGGCTGACTTGGATTGGGTTAGTGTTTGGGATGGCTTGGCTTTAAGGTTGAGAGTGAGAAGACAAACTGTGACCAAGTATCCATATCTCATAACAGGATCCAAGCTGAGTCTTGACACTTATATATGAAGCCAAGGGCTTCCAAGACTGAATTACCATGAGATTCTTGTAATCTATAGTTTCATCCAGCATTCATTCAGACATGTTCTTCCTCATTAAAGAAGGAATTTATGTTCTTCTCACTTCATCAGTGGTGCAAGACTCCCATTCTGCAAAGTTTAATTTGTCATCATGTGTCCCCCCAAAAGAATAACAAGTTTGGGTCAAATTCTTAGCTTGGAGCCAGGATCTGAGAATGTATTTCCTTTTTGGATTTCAAGTTTTCCAGTCTTGCTAGTTTCAATCAAGGGAAATCATCCAAACCACCTATTTCACAAAAAAATAGCAAATTTGGCGATAATTTCTCTTTGCAGAGGCACCTTTGTGGACCTGAAGTCCTGGAACCTCAAGTCTCTTCATGCCTCAAAGCCCTCCCCTTTTATATTCATCAATTCCCTCTTCTTACAACCCCTTCTGGTTCGTCACGCAATTGCTAATCAAGACTCCCCTCGACACCTGCTCAAATTATTTCCTCTTCCATCCAGGCCTTTGTTCACAATTCGAAAATAACAATAAACATGGCCTGACTAATTATCCTCATCCGTCGACTCCATCGATTCATCACTTGGGACTAATGCCTCGCCATTTCTACATTTGTCCTGGATACCAGTCCCCTTTTCCTCCTTTTTCCTATTCTTGTCTTTGTTCCATTCCAAATTTGCTCGACCTATTCTCGGCTTTACCATTCCCTCTCTTCGGTTCCTTTCCCCTCCCCCTGTCTACTATTCAACTCTTCTCCCTACGCATAACTTTTTCCTGTGCTGAAAATAATTCCCAAACCTAGCCATGACACCTAACCAAAAAACGCAAATGCATCCATTGCCATTGCCATTTGCCACCTCTAAATTTCTATTCCTGTCAGTCAATCCTGTACTCCTATCAAATTTTATCTAAATTTGACAAACAACTTGCGTCTTGCCTATACCGCTCCGTAACTCTCTCTCATCTTTCCAAGGCTACTCTTCCCAAATCTCATTATCAACCTGTCAATTCTCTTCTTCTGCAAAACAAATTGTAAATAATCTCTCCACATACTCATTTCCCACAATCCGTGCCTTTTCCATTGCTATTGTCTCCTTATTCCTCATCTCCTTATAACCCTAAAACCATCTATAACATGCAGCCCCCCCTTTTCTGTCGCCTTCTCTTTCCTAAACCATACTATTCCTGCTATCCTCCACAACCTCCGGTGTACATTGATACTTCTCCTTTTCCATCGGCTTTTCTTTCCTAAACTGAACGATTCGAAGTCATTTTCCTAATCCACACCTAGGTTCCGCATCAAATCAGACCCAAGAAAAGATATGATAACCCAATCTGATCCGATTTGATTTCAATGATTTCTGGATCCATAGTATTATGGAGAACATTTTAATTCAGGATCTCTTATCCCGCCAAATTCCATGCCCAAACACCTGTTGAATGAGCCCATATCTTACACAAAAAGCTGGTCAACATGAGCAAGAGTTTAGGTCATAACAAGAGTGTCAAGATCCGCACTCAAGAAGCTGCTATTTGAATTATCGATAAGCAAGGACCGTTGCATAACTTTGCCAATAGAGACCATACAGATGAGTATGTACACTGATCACACCTCCATCCTTTCTTTATTTTTTTCGTTTCTAAGTCTCCAGAGTTAAATTTGCTTTTCATTTGCTGCTGGTATTTTAATAAAAAAAATTCATACATGGTGACGATTCCATTGATATTTGGGAGATTGACGACAGGAGATTACACGGACAAAGTAGCTTTGGATCTGCAAATTGATGAATTGCGCGCAAAGATCATCTGCACAGAGGAGAAGAAGTACAGCGCTGAGTACCATCCACCCAACAAACGCTCAATCGGAAATGCAATCATGATCGAATTGAAGGACGGTACGGTCTTGGACAAGGCCGAGATCAAGTATTCTGTTGGACACAAACCTCGTCGAGAGGAAGGAAAACCACTCTTGGATGCTAAGCTCAAGAGACACATCAAGACTCACAATCGTCTTCCTCTCTCATCCTTTCAAAACACCCCTACTTCATTTTATTAACTTGTCTCTTTGGATTTCTATTTTCATGTCAATCCGGTCAATGAATCTTCTCTGAAAATCAAAACAAAAAACAGTTCCCTAAGGAACAAATAGCCAAGATCCTGGAAGTCGTTAATGACCAAAAGACTTTGGAGAACTTTGACGTTGACAAGTTCATGGATCTCTGGGCCAAATCTTAAGACCACAGACCAACAACCCTACAACAAACAAAAAAGTAAAAAAATGCAAAGAGTGATTGTGTATTTCTTTCTGTTTTATTGATCTCCAGCATAGCTTCCTAAATATAGCCTCTTGTGACAATGTAAGCCACCAAGATTATTGAATTTTTCAGTGCAAAAAAATCCCGATGCAATTGCTATAGTGTTGTGTTCATGTACTCCATCAGAGAATGCAGGGGCTTAGCAGGTACTCTCAATCAATCAGGAATTGATAGTGTCAAATGTGCTGCTCTGATGTGCACATGCCAGACAGAAGCACCCTCAGTGTGAACTGCGTAGCATGGCTACATGCTAGGTAATTGGTTTCTCAAGTCTTGAACTCTTTGCACCACATTAGATATTGACAAAGTAGTCTGCCATGATGTGATACTGTGTTACTTTCTTCATGTTTCTTATTGACACAAGGATCATGTTTAAAACACTGCAGGACTTGTGGCTGCAAATGGGCCCTACCTGTTAGGTTTGACGATAACCAGAATCATCCATGTTATTTTTCACCAACAACATTGGTTTAGCATCATGTCAGTGTATCACTACCCACTCAAAAATACTCAATATTCACCCCCCATGCAAGAAGAATTTATGAATCTGTGACAGGGTTCTCTGTCCAATAGTCTTACATGACATGCAGCACCTGTGATTTCACAGGTCTCTGTGCCATGCATGAGAAATGTGTGGGACACAGCCAAGATGTCACAAGCACAGTGACTGGGCAAAGGTGTTCATAGGACTGCCACCCTCATGACAGCTACATGGCTTCAACTCATCTAAACTTCACAAAGGGTGTTCAAAATTGATTTTTAGAGCACATTCTACATAAACTCAAAAAATTCTACAGCGTTTTGAGAAAATCCCCAGGGCCCAAATAGAGAAACATTGTAAGCTTCATGAAATTGTTGTTTTGGATGTGCTGAAAGTAGGTATGCCAGTGCTGCTATTGCCAAACCTCTGGCTAAGGATGGCCTTGCAAATGGAACAAGACTTATGGTCAGGTATATCTAGCCAAATATTATTCAGGCTGAGATCTTGAAGAGCCCCCACACAGGAGGTATACATATATTCATGAGCCAACCTCAAATTCAGTGTGCCTTGTTCTAGGTTCAAGTATCTAATTGTCAGTGCTTTTTGCTTGAAAATAAATAAATTTCAAGGTCAATCATTAGACAAAGTAGGAATTTGCTTTCCGGGTCCTGTTTTTGGACAAGGCCAGTTTGGCAGTTGTATGTTGGATTGCTGTGTGTTACTTCATTAAATAGTCTTTGTATTGGTATGTTATCAGACTGTGCAGACACAATCACCTCAAATGTTGTACATAAATCATTGCTCAAACACCACATACGAAGTGTATGAGTGATTGGGAATTCTTGTTTTGTAGTTTTCATTGGTGTAATTTCTTCAAGACATTGCCTGTGCAGTTGATTACACGTGGCGCCAGCCACGCTATTCCCTAGTATGAATAATCCTGCACTAAGGTAAACAAAGTCCTAAATTCACTATCACTTAGTTTACACATGAAATCTGGAGATGAAAAAAAAACAGTCAATTTAAACATTACTTATCTCAAACTTTCTGCATGGCAAGCTCAAGTTTGTTTGAGGTAGTGCCACTGAGGTTCTTGAGATTAATTATAACTTCTAACTGATGAGCTTGGAATAGAAATATAAATATGAACATGGTATCCACATTCACCTCTCCTGAACCTTCCAAACAAAGGATCTCCACAGAAACCCAATGGCTCATTTTCAACCTTTCTCAAGCTGTGCAAATACTTCACTTTGTAGAAGAGAAAAAGAAAACTAATATTTACAGCCAATCCAGAAAAGGATGGCATCTTGTCCTCAATTGCACCAGCTCGCTTGTGCAGATCCATCCTATTCGTGATCTGGGTAAGGTTAAGTGCCCTGCTGGATTGAAGGAGAATAAGAGCTTCTAACTCAAACCAAAACCTTATTGGGTCAAGAAGTGGTAGTATCTGCACACAAGCGAGCTGGTGCATTCGAGGAGGGGATGCCATCCTTTTCCGGATTGGCTGTATGCTAATCAGTTATGCCACAGAGATGCTGTGATAGTCCGACATCATTGCTTCCAGCACGACTCGAGCTTGATGATGCTGTAGGGTGAACGATACAGAACTTCGTCTAAGATCATCACGTACGGCACCGCTGGAGAAACTGACTCCCCATACGTGGGTAGAGAATGGTGAAGTCGAGGTCGGTTGTTGTCTCTTTGAAACAGGTTTTCAAAAACCTTTGCTTTAAGAGAAAAAGTGAGCAGGAGCTTCAGGTGAGTGTAAAACGCGTATGAGTAGTGTCGGTGCCACGTCGGTCATTCAGACTCGGGCAGAAACTCGTTTCGGACGCCATTCGATCGGTTTAATCCCCTCGGTCGTCAGCCTATAACTCACCCCCCGATCTGTCTAAGTCCATGCCCCTTCCACCACCACATACTGCCCTCTCCTTCAACTCGGTCCACCTCACAGCCAAAGACATCCACCTCAGAATTCCTGGAGAACCAGCAAGCCGACTCAAGACAAACAGACGAAAAGATTCTATCATACAATGGTCAGCACCTCGATACATTCCTTGTTGTTCATCTTCAGCAAGGCATTCGTCGTCATGGAGGGACTCATAAAAACACTCACTGCCTCTACGTTTGACTTACTAACATCACTTATTCAATTTATCAATTTTCAAACAGGCAGATGAAAAGTCAGCAGAGGCCATCGCCGCAAACTCCTTAGCAGCTCGAGCTGCAGCTGGACAAACTATCAGGTTCGTTTTAATTCAACTGGTCTCACTTCTGCAGCTTGGTTCACATAAACATCTGATATACTCAATCTTCCTTTGAAACTCGGTTGCGTTATGTTCTCGATTCAAATCCGACAACTTCCTTCCTTATTGAATTTCTCAGACGACGAGCCGCTAATTTACCGTCAAAGGCCAAACAAGGCGATCGACCTGCGTCAACTCGAGCCGCTGGACATGGTGGCAGTAGTAACACGATGATGAGGTTGTATACTCAAGATGACCATGTCGGATTGAGGGTGTAAGTACTCCAGATTCCTGAACGCTCGACATCTTAATTATGTTATGAACCACATAACTATCGTCACCGCCAATCCTTCTGAAAAAACCAGCTCCCATGGCTGACAATACATGTGTACTTCGTTTATATTCCATTGATCGAAACCAACAGTGAACCGGTCGTAGTTCTAGGATTGTCTGTGGTGTTTGTAGCTTCCGTAGTTTGTTTACATCTGGCCAATAAATTGATGAGGTGGTTGATGAAATGAAGAAAACAAAAACGCCAAGGAAAAGAAAACCAGAACACTCTGTTTATCTTAATCGATCAAGCTTGGTATTATGACTTGCTTTGCGGTTGACGTTCTTGTCCCTGTCCCTTGTTCTCTAATGGAAGTAAAGCGATTAGCACTCATCTCCCAAACCTTCCTCAATTTGTCTGGTTTTCCTTTGTTTCTTTGTCTCTCTCTCAAGCTTTACCCATCTTCCAACTCTATTCGACTGCTACTCTATAGAGAAGAAAAGGAGTGCAAATACGGTATTCCATTTTACATCCTTTGGCTCAAAGTGAATAAAGGCTGCCTGACTATATCAACCTTAGAAGATCTATTTTCTCTTTCTATCTTTTCCTCTCTGTCTGGTTTGTTCTCTACTTGTTTTCTTTTAATACTCTCTTGCTTTTTGAAAATATAGAATATCAAACTTTTTTTTTAGTTTTGGATTTGCCAAGAGATTTTTGTGATCAGATTCAAGATCACAAATCAGCTCTACCTTCTTTACAAAACAATGAATGACAGACAAGTTTTAAATGTCCATGGATACTCATGTTGCCTTGATACTCCCCTGCAGGTAAGCATGAGCAAGAAATGGGCGTCTCTGAGTCAATATTGAGCATGTGGAATGTTGTGTGCCTCACCCCAATTAATGAAGAAGACTTAGGATTTTTCTCAATGAACAATTTTGATTATTTAGTGCAGCAATGCTTTGGCTTTCCAGGAGGAAACTTTGCAGATGCTAATCAGAGCTATTAAGGTTCAACCAAACTTCCAGGTTTAGCAATAACTCTTGTGACGATACGGAATGAAGGGGGTTACTGCGGCAAGGCAGGTAGTCATGGGTGGAAGAAGGGTCAAACCTAATCTATCATCAGATTAGGTTTGAGCACGTTGTATTTAGCTTTAGCCGTTGTACATGTCTCTTGTCTCTTCTTTTCTCTTTCCTTCACTCATCTTCTTGTCTTCTCATTCGCACCGCAATAGGTGCTTAGTCGTCTCCTTCTCTTCCTTCTCTCATCGTCTCACTCTCGTCGGTCCTCAAGCGACCTCCTTAGCTCACCGCTGCTCTCTGGCATTTCTCAGGTCTGATCTCTTTTTCTTTCTTTAGTTCTCTCTCGTTCATTCTTCTCTCATCAGTCCTTCTCTTTTGTGTGTGCTCACTATGCAATGAATCACTCATCTTCTTGTCTTCTCATTCGCACCGCAATAGGTGCTTAGTCGTCTCCTTCTCTTCCTTCTCTCATCGTCTCACTCTCGTCGGTCCTCAAGCGACCTCCTTAGCTCACCGCTGCTCTCTGGCATTTCTCAGGTGCTTAGTCGTCTCCTTCTCTTCCTTCTCTCATCGTCTCACTCTCGTCGGTCCTCAAGCGACCTCCTTAGCTCACCGCTGCTCTCTGGCATTTCTCAGGTTATGAGCCCAGCAGTGTAACCAAGCTACCGAGGAAAAGCTTTCCCTTAACACATTCATTATCAATTGTGGCATCAAACAATTCCGACCACTCTCAACCGGAGGAACAATCCATCTCCACCCCTCTAGTCTCCGGCTCTTCCTCTTTCAAATCCACAACATCCGAGACCGACACTCAAATTCAGCAGCTACTCACCCCTGCCATCCAAACCATTCAACTTCCATCCAACATGAATGATCACCTTGACATCGCTAATGCCAAGCTCGTCACCAAGAAGTTGGATAAAGATAATTTCAATAGCTGGCGCTGGGGCATCATCACCGCCTTAGGCTACAAAATGCTCGATGACTTTATACTAATCGAGCAAACTGACGACATGAAGAAGCCCGATTATGAGATTAAAAATCGGATGACGACTAACTTCATCAGAATGCATCTGACCACGCGTAATCTAGAACGTTTCGTTAAAGACATCACCGACTATGACGCAAAGAAACTCTGGGACTCCATCGCAGCCCATTTTGCCGCTAAAACAATGGAGAACACAGCCAATGCTCTGGATAAATTCTTCGACATTCAATTCCTCGAAGGCGACATGGACAATTCCATTGACTCCTTTTGCCACTCCTTCAGACATCTGTGCGAAGTAGGGACAAAGTTTGAAAGAAAATTTCTAGAAGCAGTGGGCGTCATCTACGCCCTACGGCAACTTCCTCCCTTGTTCAATGTTTTTCGGACCCTCCAATTCTCCAAGTTCAAGGACGACAAAAACATTGAGATGGATAAATTCATGGAAGAACTCGAGACTGAAGTAAGACGGCAGAGTGAATCCCAAGCAATTCTCACCTCTACCTCCACAGCTTTGGCCGTCTCACAACAACCCGCCTCTCCGGTTGCTCAAAAGAAAAAAGGGCAAAAACCTTTCTGCTCCGGGGGCGTACACAATCCTGAGGCGAATCACTCCGAGGAGAATTGTCATCAAGTTCACCCGGAGAAGGCCATCGCCTATCATCAAGCCGCAAACGATCGGGTGACCGCCAAGACCAATCCCCGAGCCAACCTTGGAACAAAAGGTGCCCTTCAAGATGCAATCATCCTGGACAGCGGGGCGTCCAGCCACTTCCTCAAGGACAAATCTTACTTCAACTCTCTGTTGACATCATCCTCGTCTGTTTTTGGGGCCAATGGTGCGGCCATCCCTATCCTAGGTTTCGGGCCAGCTACTATCCAAACCGCTCTGGGTCCCCTTCAACTCAGTCTGGCTTATTACTTGCCGGGTCTGTCCAATTCTCTGCTCTCGCTCACTCAGTATGTTTGGCTTGGGTATTCCTTACATCCAACGGCCAATGGCACTCGATTCGAATGTCGCCGAGGAACAGAGGTTCTCCTGACAGGCAACACCAAGGAAAATGTCTTGCTCATCGACATGAACCCACTCAAGGCACTGTCGATCACCAACATGGATCCAATCGACATTCATCGCACCCTTGGACATCCGAGTCTGCCCTACCTGGCAAAGGCCTTCCCAAATGTCAAAGTCAAAAGCTTATACTGCGACATCTGTGATCGGTCAAAAATGCACCGACAGCCATTCAGTGGTGTTTTTCCTACATTCAATGCGCCGCTCGACTGTGTCCACATGGACCTTTGCGGACCAATCACACCTGCATCTAGGGGGGGAAATCGCTATTTCCTTAAGATCATCGATGGCTTCACCAAGTATCGATTTATCTACCCCATGCGGTGTAAGTCAGACACTTTCCACTTTTTCAATATCTTTCTCAGCCAAGCTGAGACTTTTTCCAATCATCGTCTAAAAATGGTAGTTTCCGACAATGGCGGCAAATTCTGCAATAAACAATTCTCGGCTCGCTACCAACAACGGGGCATTCAGCATCTCACCTTGTCTCCCTACACACCTCAACAAAATCCCCTCGCGGAACGGGGCAACCGGACAACGGTTGAGAAGACCCGTGCCCTACTCTTAACAAGTGGACTCTCACTCAACTGGTGGGGGGAAGCCGTAGTCTTGTCAGTGTTTCTTGAGAATCGGTCTCCCAACAGTTCCATCAACTTTGCCACCCCATATGAAAAATGGCATGGGAAGAAGCCCGATCTGACGCGACTGGTTCCCTTCGGTTGTAGGGCTGTGGTATTCGAGGAGCGCCAATTTCGAGACTCAAAGTTCTCTCCTTCTGGGTTGGAAGCCATATTTGTCGGCTATGATGGATCCCACCACTCCTTCAAGGTCTGGGTCCCATCGACCAACAAACTGGTGACTTCTCACCATGTCAAACTTTATCCAAAAGTCTTCCCTCGACTGGGTTTGGCTGACTCCCCCGACTCGGATCCGGTGCTATATGACTTTGATCATCTGTTGGAAGTTGTGGACAGCCCAATGACCGAGATGGGGGATACAGAACGACCTCCCCAAGGATCAACTCCTCCTCCCACTCCCACGCCTCAACCCTCACCTTACCCATCGCCGGAGCCACTGGATCGCCCCGATCCCAACCCATCCGACACTTATTCATCAGGAGCGGCTAACCTCCCTGCACCCAAAGGTTATGCCTACACTCCCTACTATCACAAAGCGCCCAAGGACATCAATTCAAATATCGATGAAAGCAATATCATCACTGGTCCTCGTAGATACAGGGCCCTAGTTTTAATGGGCGAACCCTCCTCCCTTAAGGATCCGAAGACGTACGGGGAGATTCTTGGTCGTATCGACGAAAATGAATGGCTCATGGCGGTGGAGGTTGAACTCAACAACATGACCCGACATGAGGTTTGGGTTGTTGCACCCCTGACTTGAGGCGCTCGTGAACTGGACACTACGTGGGTATTCAAGCGAAAGTTTGATGCGGATGGTGAACTGCTCAAGTACAAGGCTCGCCTTTGTGTCCGCGGTTTCCGTCAGATCGAGGGTCTTGACTACAACAAAACTTTCGCCCCCACTGGTCGTCTGGCGACTCTGCGCATCATGCTTGGTATAGCGGCCGTCCACGACTGGGACATCCAACAAATGGATGTTAAGTGTGCCTTTCTCAACGGAATACCAGAAGAGGACATCTTCATCAAGGTTCCGGATGGGTTGGGCATTGAACTTCCCCCCGGTCATGGACTTAAGCTGCAGAAGTTGCTGTATGGACTGAAGCAAAGTCCTCGATGCTGGTATAAGTCGCTACACGATTTCTTTGTCTCGGTCGATTTCAACCCCTCTGCCGTTGATCCCTGTCTCTTCATCCACCAGGACTCAAACAAACCCTGCTTTGTCTACGTTCACGTCGATGACTTGGTGATCCTAGGCCCCAACGTGCAATTCCTAAAGGATCTTATCTCCAAACGTTTTGAAATGGAAGACCTCGGTGATTGTCGAGGGGTCCTCGGAATGCGCGTGACTTGTGATCGTGTGAAGCAAACCATCACTCTCAGCCAGGACTGGTACGCAAGGGAGGTTCTCGAGGAATTCAAAATGCTTGACTGTAAGCCGGGTTCTATTCCTCTTCCTCCCAATGCTCTCACTTGTCCAGTCAAGGAGGCTCCCGCTACTATAAACTACCGGCGAGGCGTGGGTCTTCTCCA